GCAGGAATTTTTGTTTTGTCTGCTGCTGTATCTTAAGTGCCCAGGATGGTTCTAGATACATAACGGGAGCTCAACAAACATTTGCCGAACATCAACAAACATTGATAGGGGAGTGATCATTTCTAGCCCTCGAGTCTCTTTTGTGTTGCCTCCCAGTCAGTCCCAGCAGAATAACCACTATTCTAACTGCTATCACAAGACTGGTTTTAGCTCCTTTTGAACTTACAGAATATACTTGTTTGCATCTGGCTGAATAACCGCGGAAAGCTGTTTCTAATTCCTCAGATAAAATCAGCATTTCTAGCTTCAGATTAATAGTTAGCATAAGGTAAAAAAAAAAAAAAAAAAAATCTCTCTCCTCCATTGTTTACCCTTTTGCTCCCCCATGTCTTGGTCATATCTCACTGTTTATTCCGCAGTTGGGAATGAAAGCAGCTCTGTTGTAGTTTTGTCTCTAGTTGTTTTATTTTCTCTGTGTAGCAACATCATAGTGTTTGGCCAGTCCTGCATTCTTTACAAGAACAAATCTGATTTTTTTTATGGCCTACAAATAGTTGCAAAAACACTGACATTTTATTTCTCAAAAGTCCCCTTGCTGACTCATCCTGCTCTGGTCCTCCAGCATGAAATAACAGAACCAATTTGGTTAAATGTTGCTAATGATTACCCTGAGCGCATTCCGGACTTCAAGAATAACATGCGTGACCAAATATTTAAATACTGGCTAAAATGCAATTGGGTAATCAACAGACTCATCAGTAGACCTATTTTTATGTTTATGTCTTAAAAGACAATTGTTTAATTTGTTTACATCTTAATTAATGCTTTTAACAGTTACCAATAATGAAACTATAATTGAATTTCCTTCTAGGATGATTGAACTTCACAATCTTATATATCCTTGATTTGAGTAACATTGACGAGCAATCAAGATTTTTTTTAGAATCCTAAAAATTATCCTTCATAATATCGAGTAGACACATATCTTAAAGAACAGCAATACTGTCTGAAGTGTGTAACTCACATTTATGTATACAGGTATGTAGCTACCACCCAGATAGGGGAGTGATCATTTCTAGCCCTCAAGAGTCTCTTTTGTGTTGCTTCCCAGTCAGTCCCCGCAGAATAACCACTATTCTAATTGCTATCACAAAAGACTGGTTTTAGCTCCTTTTGAACTTACAGAACATACTTATTTGCATCTGGCTGTATATGCTTAGTATAATATTTCTGATATTCAATCATGTTACAAATATCACTGGTTTCTCTTTATTGGTAAATAATATCTCATTATATGAATATAACATATTTTATTTACACATCCCCCTGTAATAGGTAGTTGGATCCATTTCTAGTTTTTAGCTATTACTATGAATGCTGCTGCTATAAATATTCTTGTATAAGTTTTTTAGCATAATTTTTAAAGTATATAACTTATTTATGTTGGGAATATATGTATAAGTGGATTTACAGGGGTATAAGCTAGGCATATTTTGCTAACTAGCCATAATAACATAGTTCCCCAAATGGTTGCACCAGTTTAACTCCTACCAACATTATCCTTGCCATTACTCTGTAATGTCCATTCATTTAACACTAACCATTCTGGTGAATATGGAACAGTATCACACTGTGGTTTTAAACTTCATTCCCTGTGGACTAATAATACTAGGCCTCCTTTTTTTTTTTTAGTACTAGATTTAGACTGGTGAAAGATCTCACCTCGCTACCATGCTTGACTATCTGGTTTGGTTCATAACTTCTCTTTTTGTTGATGTTCTCTACTGGTAAGACATTGTTCTCAAGCTTTCTGTTAGTTTTTGTTTTTTGTTTCAAGATATGGTTTCCTTTAGCTCTTAAAGAATTACTTTAAATAGCAGATATAGAGTGTTTGTCCAGAAATTCCAACGTCTGAGCTTCCTGAGGGACAATAAATATTCCTGGCTTTTTTCTTGCTCTGTTCCATATCTTACACTTTTTTATTAAACACTAGACATTTTAAAATCTTATAATGTGGCAACTCTGGGAATCAGATTCTCTCCCCTCTCCAGAATTTGTTGTTGTTGTTTCAAGACTTATCAAAACTAATTCTGTAAAATCTGTATTCTCTGTTATGTGCAGTCACTGGAGTCTCTGTTCTGTTAACGTTTGCCCCAAATGTTATCTATGGACTCAGGAGGCAATGACTAAATTATTTGTCTATAAATGTTTTTGGTAACTACTGTCCTCCCTGCTCTCAGAACTAGGCAAGCTCTGAGTCAGGAGAAACAGAGACAAGGTTTTTAGTCATTCTTCAGGGATCCACAATGCAAGCAAAGCAAATAATTCCAATGAGATCTGTTCTGCTGCTCCCTCCAGTAGGGGAACACAGGCTGTTATTTCAGCCCCAGCTGACACATGGAACAGGGAATGGGGCTGGGGTACGCTCACCGTTCTTATGAGTTTCAGCCATTTTTGTGAATAAGCACTCCTCACATTTTTTTCAAGTCTTCAGCTAATTTCTAGAGTTCTGAAAAAGTTGATTCTGACAGCTTTTGCCAGTTCTTCTGTTGCTCTTATGGTAAAATTTTACACTTCTTTACTATGGCAGTTTTGCTGATGTCACCCCCAAATAGCAAAACTTTTTAAACCACTTGAAATCCCTCTCTCCTAGCTTCCTAATAAATCAATTTATCAAACATTTACTTAGAATTTACAATGCTGTGTGGCTAAAAAGACATCAATGACAAGGTGCTTGTCCTCAAATAACATGATAAATTCAGCAGTATCAGATTCCAAATGAAACTGTCAGTGATTATGACACTGGAGTGGGTTCCAGAGGTGCAATTTAAAAAGTGGTCCAGATGGTTCTGAAGCTGGTAGCCTGCTTGAAGAAATGTTGTCTCGGGTTTTTGTCAGCCTGTACATACTAGGACTCTATACTGATAAGCAGCATAAACGTGTTGTTACAGAGACTAGTACGGAAACTGAGCAATTAGGACCGGAAACAGTCACCATTTCAGCAAAACAGACTGTACTAATTGCAGTATGGTGAGAAAAGGGCCTAGGACAGCCATCCTTTGTCTCTGTGCACAAGCAATCTTGATCCTAGTATTAAATTTTGTCAATACTACAAAACGGCCTTGAAATTGTTCAGATGCTATGTCCTCAATGAAACCTTCCCGAGTTCCTACCCAAACTGGCACCTCCACCTTTACCCTAAAATACTCTTTCTTCCTTTTACCTATCTAACATGGATTATATTTTATTTATTTATTTATTTATTTTTAATTGAGACAGACTCACTCTGTCACCAAGGCTGGAGTGTCGTGGAGTAATCTGGGCTCACAACAACCTCCGCCGCCCAGATTTAAGTGATCCTCATGTCTTAGCTTCCCCAGTAGCTGTGACTACAGGTGCGCACCACCATACCTGGCTAATTTTTTTGCATTTTTAGTAGAGGCAGGGTTTCACCACACTGGCCAGGCTAGTATCAAACTCCTGACCTCAGGTGATCACCCGCCTCAGCCTCCCAAAGTGCTGGGATTACAGGCATGAGCCACCACACCCAGCCAAGGATATTTTAAAAAATATCTCCCAACACATTTCCTTATCGGCAAGCAAATTACTCGTTCCCAGTATCACACCTTCCATTATGCCCAAAGAAAAGTGGCAGAGAAAAAGAAAAGTCTACTCAGCCTAGGCTTCTGATGTATTCATGACATGAGCAGAGAACAGTGGGAAGGAACCAGCAGTGACACAAGTCTGTCCTCATCTCCTCTCTTCAGGATAGAGTTCCCAAAGGGAAAAGACATGCAGATTGAAGAAAAATCTAAAAACCAGGCATCTTTAAATTTCCCATTTGGGGTTCTGGGAGGACACTGCTATACAGGATGCCCTTTAATGAAAAGGTGGAGGCTGAATCATCAACATAGAAGGGTTAGGAGGAGGGAGGACATGGATTTAGTTATCCAGAGTTCTCTGACTCCCACAAGGCATAAAAGGCATCCCCAATTTTCTTTATGTCCAATGGAACAAGAGGAAGGGAGTTGGGGATTCTGCTAACAAAATTACTGAGGTACAGGGTTTTGCCCCAGGGGAGGCAAAGAGCTTCAGTAACGGAGGGCTACAGGTCTTACTGTCCAGGTCCAGAGCTTCAAGAATATGACAGCCAAACCTCAGAGTCAGGATGAATCAACGTGGGGCCAGTGAACCAGGGAGCACCACTGGGCAATCCACTGACCACTATTGCAACAGCACTTATCAGCAGGACACAGTGACCAGGTGAAGAGGAATACTATCACCCCAGAGGCCAAGGAAGATTCAGAAACTACATGCAGCAGCACTTATCAGCAGGACACAGTGACCAGGTGGAGAGGAATACTATCACCCCAGAGATCAAGGAGGACTCACAGAGAGCAGCACAAGACCACACAGTCATCTCATCTTTGTATACACACATCCATATGCCATCTAGGGAACAGATAAGGCTCTCCTGGCATGGACACTAGCAGTAATATATGCAGTTATGGTGGTAATAGTAAAAATAATAATAGTTAATACATATTTATAGCACTTAGGTGCTATATTAGATACTGTCCTAGGCTTTTTACATATTATTAATGCATTTAAACCTATTAACAACCCTATGAAGTAAATGCCATTATTAGCACCATTTTACACATGAAGAAAATGAAACGTACAAAGGCTAAATATCTGATTCAAGGACCCACAGTCAGTAAGTGTTAAAGCCAAGATTTGAACCCAATGTGACAACATATATTTTATGGAAAAATAGAGGTATTAAATATATTTTTTAAATATATGAAAATGATAAACAGAATGTCAAGCACACGAAGACTTTCCTAAAAAATCTAGGTAGTTTTCTATGGCTCTGAATCCAGGATAACATAAAGAAATAGGAGATATTTTTTAATTTGGGGCAGTATCAGCTGCCCAAAATTTTTTTTAAAATTTAAGGCTTTGCAGACGCCGCCGCCTGGAGCCTTGTAGTATCAGCCATGGTCAACCCCACCGTGTTCTTCCACATTGCCGTCCATGGCGAGCCCTTGGGCTGCGTCTCCTTTGAGCTGTTTGCAGACAAGTTTCCAAAGACAGCAGAAAACTTTCGTGCTCTGAGCACTGGAGAGAAAGGATTTGGTTATAAGGGTTCCTGCTTTCACAGAATTATTCCAGGGTTTATGTGTCAGGGTGGTGACTTCACACGCTATAATGGCACTGGTGGCAAGTCCATCCACGGGGAGAAATTTGATAATGAGAACTTCATCCTAAAGCATACAGGTCCCAGCATCTTGTCCATGGCAAATGCCGGACCCAACACAAACGGTTCCCAGTTTTTCATCTGCACTGTCAAGACTGAGTGGTTGCATGGCAAGCATGCGGTCTCTGGCAAGGTGAAAGAGGCATGAATATTGTGGAGGCCATGGAGCGCTTTGGGTCCAGGAATGGCAAGGCCAGCAAGAAGATCACCATTGCCGACTGTGGACAACTTTAGTAAGTTTGACTTGTGTTTTATCTTAACCACCAGACCATTCCTTCTGTAGCTCAGGAGAGCACCCTCCACCCCATGTGCTCACAATATCCTAGAATCTGTGCTCTCGCTGCAGTTCCCTTTGGGTTCCATGTTTTCCTTGTTCCCTTCCATGCCTAGCTGGATTGCAGAGTTAAGTTTATGATTATGAAATAAAGACTAAATAACAACAACAAAAAAAAATTTAAAGGTGGACACTAATCTATCAAATGACTGTTACTGAACAAAACTGATATACTGGGAAATAAAGCAAACTAGTACATAAGCTTTAAATGTTTCATAAACACAGCCCCACAGTGCTGCCCACAGGTGACGAGTTCAGACAATATAAAAGGTTTCAGAAAAAAGTAAAGAGTGCTTATCTTTCAAAAGACCATATTGAAATATCTATAAATGAAAGGCTTCAAAGTAATCCAGTGGGATACTCCAACCTGAAAGAACCAAAAATAAAAAGACAATACACATACATGCATAACAATTTTAAAGACACTGGACATTAGGGGCAATGAAGAACAGTGTTTCCCTGAGAAATGAGAAACAAAGTGATCCCCATGACTGCCCCAGCTTATTGCCTTGAGAAAATCTCCAGGCTGTGGTACAGGAAGGGAGATCCAGGCCAGGCACAGCAGATTCCAAGTCGAGAAATGGAGCTGAAAGTCCTACCGGGAGTTTTCAGGACAGAGCATCAAAGAGGAGAGAGCTATATACAGAGAGAATTCTAGAGATGTGCTAGCAGAAAGAATGAATTTACAGGGAACTGTGCCCAGAATGCACACAGAATAAGGAATAGTGCTTGCTCTTCCCACCCAGAGTGAATAAACTCATAATTTATTGGATATTGGTAGAGTACTCAGCCAGGTCTTGACTCCGTAATGGGGAATAATCAGGCATAGACTAAGTATTTCTTCAGACTCACCTAACAAATCACAAAATTCCCAAAGATCAAACTGGTCAAGTAAATGAACTGCATCCCAGAACAAAGCTCGAGAATATTTGTACAACTGCAAAAATATCCAGCAACCAGAAAAGTACAATTTATAACACCTGACATCCAATCAAATATTACCAGGCATGCACATAAACAGGGAAATATAACCCACAATGAGAACATAATCAATTTCAAATGATACAGATGTTAGAATTCTCAAATACATTGAAACAGTTATTCCACAGTTTATGGAGTACAGTCATTCAAGTACATGTTGAGTATCCCTAATCCAAAAATCCGAAATGCTCCAAAATACAAAATTTTATGATTTCACATGACTCCACAAGTGGAAAATTCCACACATAAGTACTTAACACACTGTTTCATTAACAAAATTATTCAAAATATCGTATAAAATCACCTTGAGGCTGTGTATATAAGGTGTAATATGAAGCATAAATGAATTTCATGTTTAAAATTGCGTCCCATTCCCAAGCTATCTAATCATGTATATGCAAATATTTCAAAATCCAAAAGTTGAAACACTTCTGGCCCAAGCATTTTGGAGAAGATACTTAACCTGTATTGACATCAACACTAAAAATAAATAAACTATCAAGACATGGAGCAAAGTGCATATTACTAAGCAAAAAAGCCCAATCTAAAAAAGGTTGCACACTGTATGATTCCAACTCTATGACATTCTGGAAAAGGCTAAACTATGGCTAGACTGAAAGATCAGTCGTTGCCAGGGGTTGGAAAAGGGAAGGATAAACGGGGAATACAGAGGATTTTTAGGCAGTGAAAATATTCTGTATGGTAATGAAATGGTAGCTATATGGCCTCTGTACATTTGTCAAAACCCATAGAATGTACAATGCCAGAGTGAACCCTAATGTAAACTATGGAATTTGGGTTATAATGTGTCAATATAAATTCATCAATTTTAACAAATATACCTGTAGGACACTGATATTGGGGTAGGCTGTGCATGTGTGTGAGTAAGTCGTATATGGGAACTCCTTACACTTTCTGTTCAATTTTGCCATGAATCTAGAACTGCTATAAAAAAACCAAGTCTATTTTTGAAAATAAAATTGAAAAAAATCAGTGAACTGTGGAAACATTTCAAACAGTATCCAATTACACAATTATATATGTGTAATTGGAGTCCTGAAGGAAAGGAGAAAGGAGAAAAAATTTTTGGAAAAAAACATATATTTTTTTTAAATTTTATATAAACTATAAAACTCACTGATCCAAGGAACTCAACATATTCCAAGTAAAAATTACTGATTTCAGACAAGCAAGCTTCCACAGATTACTACAGATTCTATGGATTGAAAATCATAGTGAGGATTATGAACATCTTTATGCCTGTAAATTCAACAACTTAGAGGAAATGGACAAATTACTTGAAAGACACAAACTACCAAAGCTCGTTTAAGAAGAAATAATTTAAATAGACCTGTACTGTCTAAAGAAACTAAAACTATAATTTAAAAACCTTCCATATTTGCAAGAAGAGCATTTACCAAGCTAAACAAAAAAAGAAATCCACACGTATTCACAAACAAAGGAGTAAAAACAAAAAACACAACAGATAAAGAACTTAAGATGGTCAGAGAAACGACATGACACAAAGGCCTGACAGGTACCGAGAGCAGACTTTTCAACAGCAGTCTGCAACTAGTGGATGGTGGAATAATATCTTCAAAACACTAAAGAGAAAATTTTGCCAAACCAGAATTAAGTAAACCAAAAGCAACCCTTTATGAAGCTAAGACTTAAAGAAAAAAAAAAACAAAACTCTGAGAAATATAAAGATCCTTAGAATAAAATTAGAATCCTAAGTCCGTACTATGCACAAATGTGAGCAGCAGAAACTCTGGACAAAACCCGTCACTTCAGGCAAAAATAATTGGGAAAGACCACAGTGGTATCAGGAGTGTAAGAAGCATTCTCATGATTTTTAACACTTTCTCTGAGCTCTTTGCCCTAAGAGTAGTACTAACCATACAGAAACAGACTGCAGGCAGCTAAAACTCTGAAAGAAATCCAAACTCTGGCTAGGATTAACAATGAAAGGAGCGTCTGGGTGCCCGAGAGTATGTGGGAAATCCAGGAAAAGTAAGAGCCAGAGAAAGGGTTTCCCGTAATTTTGCACATGATGAACCAGCTAGCTCACACATGAGAGCGATTCAGGGAAGTACAGCAAAGGCTCTGAGAATAAATTAAAATACAAACCGTCACTACAGCACCAAACAAACTCATAAATAGTCTGTGGATAGGAAAGACCCAAAGCAGCATAGCAAAATCGTTCAACTAATAATACTGGAAATACTATTCACAGAAAGTGAGAAAACTTGTGGTTTAGAACCTAACCAGCTTGACTGCCTACCAAAACAAAAGCAAAATCAGCATTCTCCCAAGGATTTTAATAAGACTTGGAGACACAAAATATAACTCCAAAATCACTCAGATCTAGAGCACCAGAAAAATGTGATCCAAACTTGGGGGAAAAGACAATCAAAAGTAATTTGTAAGGGAAGCAAAACTGTATAAAAAAAACCAGACACAGTGTAAGAAAAAGGAAAATTATAAGTCAGTGTCACTCAAGAAACAGATATAAAAACTCTAAACCAAAAATTAGCATACCAAATCCAAAAACAATGATCAGATGATAAATCATGACCAAGTTGGGTTTTTTCCCACAAATTCAAAGTTAAATAAACATTAGAAAATCTATTAATTTAGCTTACTATATTTGTAGCTTATGATTAAAGAAAGTCAGATGACTACTTCAATTTGCCAAAATACAACCTCTGTGGTGGAGTACTTATAAAATGGTTCCCAATAATTCTGTCATACAAAGTGCTCTTTAATGAAATTAAGAGTGTGCCTCACAGGTCCTCTCGATTTAACAAGGCCTCTAGGGAGCTTAAGAACATTGTCCCTCAGCCATGTGAGAAAGAGCACAAAGTAAAGCAGACTGTATCTTAGATTTGTGGGTGTGACTACTACCCAATGGAATGAACGCCAGTGAATTTCACAAAAGACTTACAAAGTTTTTGAGAAAATTATATCAGCAGCAACACTGCCAGGTTGGACCAAAAAAACCCAGCCTTAGTACAAAATGAAAAGAGGCCACTAGACTCTCAAAATTCTACTGGCAGGAAGCAGCCTGATAAAACACTGCACAGCTGCTAACACATGCAATCTTTCATGAAAAAGGAAGAGTAACTCAGAGGTGGAATCAAGAGCCAGGAGAGCAGACCTAAGAACCATAAACAATTATACCTAGACCTTGAGACCAATCAAGGAACTGCTAACATTTTCCGGGGTTTCACCTTGTTGGTCAAGCTGGTCTCAAACTCCTAACCTCAAGTGATCCACCTGCCTCTGCCTCCCCAAGTGGTGGGATTACAAGTGTGACCCACCGCACCCAGCTGGCAACTTGTATCTTTAATATCACATTTCTTCATATTGAGTGGAACTGTACTCAAGGAACTATATTTAAGAAACTTCAGCCAGGTGCAGTGGCTCACACCTGTAATCCTAGCACTTTGGGAGGCTAAGCCCAGGAGTATGAAACCAGCGTGGGCAACATCCCTATCACCACTAAAAACCAAAAAAATTAGCCAGATGTGGTGATATGCAACTGTAATCCCAGCAACTCAGGAGGCTGAGGCAGGAGAATCACTTAAACCCAGGAGGTTGAGGCTTCAGTGAGGCATGATTGCACCACTGCACTCTAGCCTGGCCAACAGAGTGAGACCCTGTCTCAAGAAAAAAAGAAACTTCACCCATAAACTTCATTCACAACTGGACCTGATTTAGATGACAAAATTCTGGACTTTGAGCTGATACGTAATGGAATGAGACTTTTGGGGACCTGGGGGAAGGAACAAATTAAGAGGGGTAGATGCAAGAGACATGAGTCATTGGGGACCAGAGGGCAGGCTGGAAGACTGCTTCTAAAATAGCAC